CTGTGAAGCTAGACATCTATTTTTTTGTTTTCGTTTCTTAGCTTTCCTTATAAATCAGTCCCTCCATCCACCTAGTCACTCTTGAGGTTTTCCCTTGCATTCCCTCCACTTTGTCCTGTTATTTTAATCAGGGTTCAAGTGAACAAACATGCAAAAACTGTAACTAAATAACATGCACCTTCTGAAAGTCAGCTGTCACAATCTGTAATTACAGGCAAATTCACTTTCCTGTCTTTTCCTGCCTGCAGTACTTCTGGAATGAAGAATTTTAGCTTACACAAGCATATGGAAAGAGCAAACCGATTTTCCCAGAAATATTAGAAATGTATACAATTGCTGATCCACTATTTTTCACAGATTCTGGATCCTCTTCAAAGTGTCTATTGTCAGGGCCTGTATGATAGTATTGTGACTCTGAATGTAAAGTTTCTATGTGCTTTCATCAATTTCTCAACTTCTCCTTCTTTCAGTAAATTCTTTTCCCATGTTGTCATTAAATCTTCCCAGTTTTTCTCAATCTTCACCTCTATCACTTTCCCCATGTTCTCTTTGTCTCTCTGCATTCTCTCTAAATCCTCCTTTCTTTCAATTGTGTTCACTCAACCCCCAAAACCCTTTAAACAAATTCTAAGAACGTGGGGGGAAATGCACCCCTAGTATTTGACCTGTCCAGAGAGAAAAACAACACCAAGTAAGAATTGGCCAAGGGCACTCTTTTCTGGATTTTTCAATTTACTACCAAAAAAAAAATAAAATCCAGAGGATCCTTTTAATTATAAAAGTTTTATTGAAAATGTTATAGTTTCTGTAGACTCATTCACAGTCTACATTGTAGTGGAATTACAGTGAGGTCTGAATAAGGGGGAGTGCATGACTGTGCTACCCAGAACAAACCACAGAGCGAATTACGAGACGGTCACAATTCAGTCCTTGTCAGCCCTTTACTCCAGGGAAAAATAAGCTGTACCAGATAAAGGGCTGGCATGACTTATTTCACACTCTGTGCTAGCTCTCTTGTGCTCCCTACTCCTGCAAATCCACTCCCTGGCCCCCAGCATTGGAGGGGGAGTAGCTGCCCTGCAATGATAGCTCTCTTCTTTACACACAGATGGGCAATATAGGTAACTAGGGGAGAAAGGGGCCTACAATTAAGCCCTAAGGATTTTTGCCATGGACGCTAAAGAGGGAGTCAATGTTTTTTTCAGAGTAGTAGCCGTGTTAGTCTGTATCAGCAAAAAGAACAAGGAGTACTAATGGCATCTTAGAGACTAACAAGTTTATTTGAGCATAAGCTTTTGTGGCTGGTTTTAGCCCATGAAAGCTTATGCTCAAATAAATTTGTTAGTCTCTAAGGTGCCACTAGTACTCCTCATTCTTTTTAATGTTTTATTCCTATCTGGTAAGGAGTGGGCAGGTGCATATACTTTACCGGTGCCTTGCCTACCATCTTTTTTCCAATGAGCTCTGTTCTGGTTACAAGCTCATTGAGGAAGCTTGTCTTGCTTTCCTTGAAATGGTTCCTAAGTATGAGTCCATGTTATGATGGCATAGCCAACTTCTCCATTTTCTTCCCTCCCTCCTCTCCTATGTGTTTGACCTTCTCAGGACAGTATTACAGACTGGAGCAGGATGTGCCTCTGTCTTCCTCATCTCCTTCTAGGGATGGGTCTCTTATGTCTACAGTGCAATTAAAAACCCAGGGCTAGCTACTGCCAGCTGACTGGGCTCTGGCGAAGGGGCTATTTAATTGTGGGGTAGATGTTTGGTCTCAGGCTGCAGCCTTGGCTCTAGGACCCTGCAAGGTGCCCTAATCCTGATACAATTTTGAAACAGTGTTTCAAAATTACCAATGTCCTGCCTACTCCCTGAGGAGGTCCCCCTCACATCCTCTCCCCGTGGAACTCTAAAACAGCCTCCTCCTTCAAAAAGGAATTCCAGTGGGTAGAGAATACTGAGGGGACCCAGGATGGAAGAGGGCTCAAATGAATTAGATGTTTCAGAGGGGGAGGTTTCAGCACAGCATCACTGCTGGTTGGGGAGACCTATTTCTCTTTGCCTTGCTACATTTTTCTCCAAAAAACATGTTTTTGTTATTAGGGTATGACAATGAAAGAGCAGCAGAGAAGTAGAAAGAGGAGATAGAACACATAGACTGCTTGCGGTGGGGTAGAGTTTTATTTCAGGTAGGTTTCAATGAGGGGGCCTGTCTTTTACCTGTGTAATTAAATAAAAGGATGTATGAAGCCCCTCCCCTCTAGATAGGTTTCTATCTGCATTGCAGCTACTACACTCAATACCTCAAATAAAAACAAAAGGGATTTGGAATAAGAAAGGTTGACGAGCGAGGTGGTTAGATAAAGTTTGCCAAAAAAATTGTGAAATTTTTTTTCTGGTTTTCATCAAATTGTCATTTTTTACAAAAGTTTCCAACTAGAGCTGGTTATTAACATTTTTCCATTCTTGCTCTACACTGTGGTCAGGAATAAAACTCCTGCCAACAGTACTACCAACCCCGAGCATTCAGAAATCAGGGGTCAGGCCCTGAAATCTTGAGACTGGTGTTTAAAAATAACTACTGTGGGGGCATTTTTGTTTGCTGGTTTTTTGAGCCTGGAAGATTCATATTTTCAAGCTCTTCTCCACAGCCCTGAGGACTATAAACTTCCCTTTTGAAACTAAAGCTGAAATATTCATGTAATCAGAAGACTGCTGGGGCTTTAAAAGAGAAACCAACGCCAACAAAACGAAGATTACATTATTACCAGACTCCCAGTAAAATCACAGGAGGTGGGCAACATGGATTTTCAGGAAGCTACTGTTGGCTGCACCACTGGCACCAGCATCCATCTTTGACACATTTTAAAACAAACGAATGCTGGCAACCTTACTGGCTCGGTAGAGAGGATAAGGACTGTGCGTGGACCCTCAAGGCTTGAGATTGAAGTATGGGAACTACAGCTGGTACCGAATGCAGCAGCATGTGGCCTCAGCAACCTGGGTTACAGAGAGTGCATAAAACCTGTGTCCTTCACTCAGGCTAATGGCTCCTCAAATGACATCCCATCAAATTCACTCCTCTGGGCCCTCGTCTTCAGGATTCTTAGTGAGCCGAACCAGGGAAACTTACAAGCTCATTTCATACTCCAGGATCGGGCTCGCCTACCCCAGTGCTGGGCACGGTGTAGGACCTCGACTAGAGCAGGACCAGCACTACCCTCTCCTCTAGCAAATGCACCCTGCAGGGCAGGGAGCAGGCACGCTGCTGGAGCAGACCTGCAGTACCTGTTCTGTGGAGAAGAAGCAGTTTCCCACGGAGCTATTCTCCTTTTGTGCAAGCAAAGCAACCAAATGCCTGCCCCCCCCGCAAGCTCTGCTATGCCTGAGCCGCTCCTGTCTGCTGCACTGGCACCAGCTAGAACAGGAGGACTTGTGGCACCTTAGAGACTAACAAATTTATTAGAGCATAAGCTTTTGTGGGCTACAGCCCACTTCATCGGATGCATAGAATGGAACATACAGTAAGATATATATATACACATACATATACATACAGATAAGTTGGAAGTTACTATACAAACTGTGAGAGGCTAATTAGTTAAGATGCACTATTATCAGCAGGAGGAAAAAAAACTTTTGTAGTGGCCATCTTGATTATCACTGTAAGCAGTGTCAGGATGAGCTCCACCCTTACATCTGGTGGTGAGGTGTGGCAAGTTGTGGAAAACAACTTCAGGGGCCGATCTCAGTTGCATAGGCACACCCACCACGCCTAGAATGAGGCCATAGCTGCCCAAATGGTCACTTTGGCTGCTGTGGGATCCCCAGTGTCTCTGTTATTGGGGCAGGAAGAATAAATTATTATTACCCTGATTATGGGAACTGTGCTTGGAACTGTACTTGGCCTTTTGTTATGATGGAGGGACTCAGCATCAACTAAAGTAGCACTCGCTAGGCAAGGGTCATGGGTTCCAAAACTCTGTGAATTGAGAGAGGCTGGGGACAATTATTAATATTTGGTGGCATGGGCCCCTTGGTGAGAGCCTTACATGCTAATTGCACTTCCTCTTCTCTCCACTGTGGAATATCAGAGCTAATTTTGATTTCATTAGAAATCTAGTTACAGGCTGCTGAGTCACTTTGAGCTAATAGTGCACCGGCACTGAGATTCCCGTGCTATAAACTGAATTCACCAAAGAGCTGAACTGACTAAGAGCTGAAATCACTGAGCATTGTGTTAAGTAGGGGGGAGCCTTGTTGCTGCCAACTCTGATGGGCAGAAGGGTTACATCACTACAAAAGTTTTTTTCTCTTGCTGATAATAGCTCATCTTAACTAATTAGCTGCTCACTGTATGAAGAAAAGGACGGCTGCTTCTCTGAAACAGTTTGTATGGTAACTTCCAACTTATCTGTATGTGTATATATAGCTATAGCTTACTATATGTTCCAGTCTATGCATCCAATGAAGTGGCCTGTAGCCCACGAAAGCTTGTGCTCTAATAAATTTGTTAGTCTCCAAGGTACCACAAGTCCTCCTGTTCTTTTTTGCGAATACAGACTAACAGGGCTGCTACTCTGAAACCTGTCACCAGCTAGGGAGAAGTAAAAACCCCTCCTCTTGGACTAGGGAAATAGCTCCCGCCTCCCAGCCTGATCTCCCCAGAGCGCAAGTTGGGACTTTGCTCTTGCTTGAACTCCCCACTCAGTTCGGCTCTTTCCACCCCGGGCGGCTTTGTATTCCCAGTGCAAAGAAGGACACAACCCGCTTTCCCGCGCACGGAGGGGCAGGTGCAGCAGGAGAGGAGGCGTCCTCCGCTCCCAGCCAGCTGGCAGCGAACCAGGCGGGAGCCTGCGCCGCAGCCCGGCCCCACCCCGGGCAGGCAGCGTGGAGGAGCGCGCGCGCGCAGGCGGGCGCTGGCGAAGCTGCTGCTGCCCTGTGTGCGCGCCTGCCTGGCTCGCGGCCACCAGCACCCAGCTCGGGTTGCGTCAGACAAACCTCCCCGCTTGGGCCGCCTCCTCCTCTGCCTCAGCTGGGACCCCGGGAGCGGGGCACAGGTGTTGCCTTCGCCCTCGCGCTGCTGCAGCAAAGCCTCGGACCTCTGAGCCGCTGGCACCACAGAGCCTGCAAAAATGCTGTGGAAAGCCCATCAGCTTTTGAGGAAATTCTCCACCACGGCCACAGTGAGTGTGTGAGGATGGGTTCCCCTAAGGAACGAGCTTTGCAGGAGGCCGTAGCTCAGGAATGAGCAATGGGGTTGTCAGGGGGTCAGGGCAGGCTCAGTGGGACTTGGCAAATATGTTGCTTTTGATTGCAAAACGATGAGCATATTTGTTTTCCATATTTGTCTGAGGAGCCGCAATAGCCCAGGAATGGGGGGTGGGAGCCGAGGACAAGTCAGCGGTGCTTGGATAATACCCCTGCAAGGAAAGGATAAAAATAGGTCGAGATTTTTTCACATGAATTTTGGCACTGAACAGTCAGAGGTCCCTTCAGGGGATATTTGACTTGTTTACCAAAATAGGAGCATCTTGCTTTGCCTGACTATGGTGGATCTCGGTATATTCTCTGATACCATGCTGTGTATCGCAGGAGTCTGGGAGCTGCAACGGAGAAAATCGAAGATGCTTTCGTAACATCTTTGCTTTGCAAGAATATGAACTGGCAGTCATGTTCTCATGGGAATCTGGGCAGGGGAAGGCCAGCGGTGCTCTGAGACTGTAATTGCTGCGAAAGAAGCTAAAGATCTAGCCAGGCCTGTTCCCACTACTGTAGTCAAACTGGGAACAGGCATGGCTATTTCTTATTGAGAAGTAAACCTTCAGCTCCTGCTCCAAATGCTGGCCTTGGAGGCGTGTCGGTTTGTGAACATCAGTTCTTACACTCTGGCTGTAAAGAATTAATGCAAGACGGATATTTGTCTGTCTGGTGTTAGATTAAACTGCATAGCTCTGCAGGGAGACTGATAACGATTCATGCTGCTCTTTATGGCCGGGTAAATACATGCCCCTTAAAATATGATGTAAAGTAGACAAGATGCTTCGGGCACTCTGGTTAAGATTCATGGATGCGGCTGAATGCAGTTTGGGGATGGTTTTTCATCCCTGAAGACTGCTCTGCGTTTCATATTTGACAGCATGGCCAAGGGTGAGGATGACTGTTTGCCTGGGGAATCTGCTTTGAAGGGTTTTTACAGTAAGAGACTTTAGCCAAGCTCTTTGGAATTGCATCAGCAATGTGAATGGATGACTGACACGTTGCATACAGAGATATGGATGGGGAGAGGCAGTGCTATTGGTTTTCATTCAGAGGAGCAAGGCTTTCGTGCATGAGTCCTGACACTATGTAGAATTAAAGTTACCATGTTAATGTCTCCTTTGAGAAGCATTTTACATTGTTTTTAAAGAGACATAGCATTAAAAAATTTCTCTTATCAATAACAGTGTCTCTAAATTCTTGCAGAGAATGAATATAATAATGTAACCAGAATGGGAGCTATTGAAAATTAATCTGTAGGGAAATTGAACTGAAAGCATTACCAGTGAAACTTGTTAGAGATGCACACACCATTAGCAATTCCAGAAGTATTTGTTATTTATAACAATGAAATGAATTCCCTTTGCAACGCTAACTTTCCTCTTCACAAGGAGAAACTGTAGCATGAACACATTTTCCCTTTTTAGTGATTTGCTTTTGTTATGAGACTTGTAAGACTATTAATATATGCAGTGCTTGTGTATTCTTTTATGTTGCAGGAGGTGAATGGGAGAAGAAGAAGAATCAGAATGGAGTAAATGTTGAGTGTCATGTAAACAGCCATTAAAATAAACTCTAGTAATTTTATTTTAGGCAAATTAATACCATAAAAGCAATGGATATTGTGGCCAATATTTCCAAAATGCACCTAAAAAATTAGACAGCTACATCTATATTTAGGCATCTAAATAAAAGAGGACTGATTTTCAGAAATGTTAAACATTGTGACAAAATACCTTGTTTGCCTTAGTAGGTTCAGTCCTTTTTAGCCTTGGAGACTCAGGTTTGGGGCAAGGCAAATCCTTATAGGTGGCACAGGGTCCTGCTTCTCCTCTGCTCAGTCAGTCCCTTGTGCTTGCAAAAGGAAAAAGGAGTACTTGTGGCACCTTAGAGACTAACAAATTTATTTGAGCATAAGCTTTCGTGAGCTACAGCTCACTTCATCGGATGCATATGATGAAGTGAGCTGTAGCTCACGAAAGGCTTATGCTCAAATAAATTTGTTAGTCTCTAAGGTGCCACAAGTCCTCCTTTTCTTTTTGCGGATACAGACTAACATGACTGCTACTCTGGTGCCTTGTGCTTATTTTCCTTTCCTTCCCTTCCCTTCTGGGGAGTGAGTGCAGCCTCCCTACTGGGAAGGTCTGGTGTCTTGCTGCAAACAGCCTACTGGTAGCTTCCCAGCTCTCCTCACTCTCTACCTCCTACCACCCAGGGGAGGGTTTAAAAAGGTCCCAAGTAGTTGGAGTCAGCTGAACCTAATTGGTTCCCTAGCAACCCCTTTTCCAGCTGAACATTGTGGTTCTCTCTCCTCAGTGGATAGGGAGGGGCCTTTTAATCCCCTGGGACTACCCCCCTTTTGTAGCTGTTTGTCCTGGGTTTACCACCGCATCCACAACTTCCTCTGAAGCCAGTGGAATCTGTGGATGCTCAACAGATCTCTTAAAAGGAGGCCACTTTTATTTAGATGTCCAACTGTGGATTTGGGTGCCTATCTTTGTACATCACCTGTACAAACTAGTTTTCAGGTTATATGCCCTATACCGATCTTGTTCTCTGCAGCTATCTAGGGAGCATCGTATCCAAGTAAAATGAGAGTGATTTTTGAGATCTTCCCATGAGTATTTTGATCCTTGTTATAATACAAGCAAAATAATACCATAAGGAAGAAAAAAAGAAAGCAAAACCAAGTTCAACAAATGAAAATTAAATAAGAATGCTCAGACACTTTCCAGATCCCTGATCCTCTGCTTACACAACTTTGTAATACCATGGATATTCTCCAAGTTAACAAAATTCTTCTAGAGTTCCCATGCAGGAAAAATAAAAGGGCCTCTATACCTTGTAAAATTGAGCCATCTCTCTGTCATCAGTTTGAGCTCCACTATTTTCCAGGCCTGTTTGGATAACTCCAAAAAAGAAGAAGGGAAGAAGTCTCCACCAATAATAAATAATCACTAACCTTCCCATGAGAAGCAGTGCATCTGATAATTTTGTGTGCTCATTGTCAGCAAGGTGGTTACAAGGGAAGCTCAACATTGCCTCCATAGTATCAATACATATGTCCAAAGCAATCACAAGTCCATTATCAGTAATGTATATGAGGATTGCTCTTATTGATATATCACCATATGCCACCTGCATGATTTGATGGCATTTAGTGAGCTCCTGTTTGGGAACTAGACTATGGGACCTATCCTTTTAGCAGTCCATCCCGGAGGTGGCGTTTCAGTGAAGAAGTAACTACCAGGCTGTCCTACATTCCCCCATAATTTTACAGAATTTGCACTTTTATGCAGTTCTACCATGTCTCTGTATCATTTTGTTGCAAGGAATTTCCACTCTCAAAAGACTATCAAGTTGTGTAAACAGTTTTGGAATCATAGAATATCAGGGTTGGAAGGGACCTCAGGAGGTCATCTAGTCCAACCCCCTGCTCAAAGCAGGACCAATCCCCAATTAAATCATCCCAGCCAGGGCTTTGTCAAGCCTGACCTTAAAAACTTCTAAGGAAGGAGATTCTACCACCTTCCTAGGTAACGCGTTCCAGTGTTTCACCACCCTCCTAGTGAAAAAGTTTTTCCTAATATCCAACCTAAACCTCCCCCACTGCAACTTGAGACCATTACTCCTTGTCCTGTCATCTTCTACCACTGAGAATAGTCTGGAACCATCCTCTTTGGGACCACCTCTCAGGTATTTGAAAACAGCTATCAAATCCCCCCTCATTCTTCTCTTCTGCAGACTAAACAATCCCAGTTCCCTCAGCCTCTCCTCATAAGTCATGTGTTCCAGACTCCTAATCATTTTTGTTGCCCTTCGCTGGACTCTCTCCAATTTATCCACTATCCTTCTTGTAGTGTGGGGCCCAAAACTGGACACAGTACTCCAGCTGAGGCCTCACCAATGTTGAATAGAAGGGAACGATCACGTCCGTCGATCTGCTGGCTATGCCCCTACTTATACATCCCAAAATGCCATTGGCCTTCTTGGCAACAAGGGCACACTGTTGACTCATATCCAGCTTCTCGTCCACTGTCACCCCTAGGTCCTTTTCCGCAGAACTGCTGCCTGGCCATTCGGTCCCTAGTCTGTAGCGGTGCATGGGATTCTTCCGTCCTAAGTGCAGGACCCTGCACTTATCCTTGTTAACCTCATCAGATTTCTTTTGGCCCAATCCTCCAATTTGTCTAGGTCCCTCTGAATCCTATCCCTACCTGCCACCGTATCTACCACTCCTCCTAGTTTAGTATCATCCGCAAATTTGCTGAGAGTGCAATCCACACCATCCTCCAGATCATTTATGAAGATATTAAACAAAACTGGCCCCAGGACCGACCCTTGGGGCACTCCACTTGATACCGGCTGCCAACTAGACATGGAGCCATTGATCATTACCTGTTGAGCCTGACAATCTAGCCAACTTTCTACCCACCTTATAGTGCATTCATCCAGCCCATACTTCTTTAACTTGCTGACAAGAATACTGTGGGAGACCATGTCAAAAGCTTTGCTAGAGTCAAGAAACAGTACATCCACTGCTTTCCCTTCATCCACAGAACCAGTAATCTCATCACAGAAGGCGATTAGATTAGTCAGGCATGACCTTCCCTTGGTGAATCCATGCTGACTGTTCCTGATCACTTTCCTCTCGTGTAAGTGCTTCAGGATAGATTCCTTGAGGACCCGCTCCATGATTTTTCTGGGGACTGAGGTGAGGCTGACTGGCCTATAATTCCCAGGATCCTCCTTCTTCCCTTTTTTAAAGATTGGCACTACATTAGCCTTTTTCCAGTCATCTGGGTCTTCCCTCATTCGCCATGAGTTTTCAAAGATAATGGCCAATGGCTCTGCAATCACAGCCGCCAATTCCTTTAGCACTCTCGGATGCAACGCATCCGGCCCCATGGACTTGTGCACGTCCAGC